CATTGTTGCAAATGGCAAGATTTCATTCTTTTTTATGGCTGAGTAATATTGCAATGTATATATATACCACATCTTCCTTTGCCCTTTAGTAGTTCCTGCCGCGAGGGTGGCGCGCCGTGATTGTATAGTGGTTAGTACTCTGAGTTGTGCCCTTTAGTAGTTCCACTATTTCTAGTAACAATTCTAGGAATATTAAGCATAATGTTTCCCTTGTTCTTTGTTGTCGCATATCAAAGTTCTCTGAAACCAAAGAATTAGAGCGGGAAAACTCAGGAAGACCATGAAGTAAACAGCATATACCTTTGTTTCTGCATTAAATTCTTCTATGGACTCTATCAGTTTCCCAGGTTCCAGCTCCCCTAGTGGAAAGGGGTAATCAGTTCCCAAAATGACTTTATCCTGAAAAAAAATTTTTTAACTGTAACTTTACAGAGCATCAAAGAATCTTCTGTAAATGTAATTATATTTACTTATTACAAGCACTCCTATGATAAAATAACAAATTCCTTCCAGTTAATAGAAACAAACTGATCTAAAATGTTTAATGGATTCAAAACAGATTCTGACATTTTCTCCAGCAGGTGTCGCTATTGGGTTTCTTAAAGTTGCAAATCAACCCCCCATCCTCCCTTTTTTGAATAACTGAAATATATATATATATATGAAGCAAGAATTTATTTAATAAAACATGTTGATATCTTCAGATGAAATTAAGGATTCTATATTTCTTAGAATGACACATTGCAATTCATCTTATAATTTTATATTATTTTATTTATTTATTTGAAAGAGAAAGAGAGAGAGAGAGAGAATGAGCAGTGGGGAGGGGCAGAGAGAGAGGGAGAGGCAGACTCCCTGCTGAGCAGGGAGCCCAATGCAGGGCTTGTTCCCAGGACCTGGGGATCATGATCTGGGCCGAAGGCAGACACTTAACTGACTGAGCCACCTAGGTGCCCCTCCCATAATTTTTTTTAAAAAGATTTTATTTTTAAGTAATCTCTACACTCAATGTAGGGCTCAAACTAATGACCGTGAGATCAAGAGTTGCACACTCCACGGACTGAGCCAGCCAGGCGCCACTGATCCCATAATTTTTGAAAACACACTGGAGTTGAAAAGGAAAAAAATAACAAACAACTGGATGAAAAGTAAAGACAAACAAACTAAAACCAATTTCCAAAGAATTCTTATCTCTATAAACTGAATAGTTCTTTTTTTTTTTTTTTTTGAATGATGTTGCTTCGAATCTCCATTTGACACTTTGTACAACAAAGCACACAGGCTTGTCCATCTACAAATATATAAAGCAGTATGTCAAGCAATGTGTTAGAATCTAGATTACCCTGGCCAACCAAACAGAAATGGGCCCTGTCCTCAGAGAACTTATAATCTAGTAAGAAAGAGAGACATTAAATCAATAATGGCAGTCTATCAAAATAAAATAAGAAAAACACATTTTCAACCAGAAATTTTACTTCTAGGGCGCCTGGGTGGCTCAGTTGGTTAAGCGACTGCCTTGGGCTCAGGTCATGATCCTGGAGTCCCGGGATTGAGTCCCGCATCGGGCTCCCTGCTCAGCAGGGAGCCTGCTTCTCCCTCTGACCCTCTCCCCTCTCATGTGCTCTCTCTCTCTCATTCTCTCTGTCTCAAATAAATAAATAAAATCTTAAAAAAAAAAAAAGAAATTTTACTTCTAGAAATGCGTTCCACTAATACACATGTAATGGAAATATATACAAGGAAATTAATTGCAACATTATTTGTAGTGGCAAAAGACTAGCAAACTAAATTATAGCATATCTAAAAAATAAAGAGGATTGAGGAATACTTAACACATGTTGAAATGGAATAATCACTAAGTTATATTGTAGAGAGGAATGATGTTGAAGTTATATTGTAAGGAGAAAAAGTCTAGGACAAAGTATCTGCCATGCTCATATTTCTGTTTTTAATAAGGGACCTATAGACACACAAATATACATTTGTATGTATACACTCTATTTCAGGAATGGTACTCAAGAAACAAATAACATTAGTTGCCTCTGGAAAAGAAGATTAGGATTTGGGGATGGAGGAGATCCCTGCCTCCCTTTTTGAAATGTAATTCACAGGGGCACCTGGGTGGCTCTGTCGGTCGGGCATCTATCTGCCTTCGGCTCAGGTTGTGATTCCAGGGTCCTGGGATCAAGTACCCAATCAGGCTCCCTGCTCAGCGGATGGAGTCAGCTTCTCCCTCTCTCTCTCTCTGCCCCTCCCCCTGCTCATGCTCTATCTCTCTCTCTCAAATAAATAAATAAAATCTTAAAAAAAAGAAACGTAATTCACATAACTTAAAATTTAGCCTTTAGAAGTGTATAATTCAGTGAGTTTTAGTGTATTTATGAATTTGTGTAATCATTCCCACCATTTTATTCCGGAACATTTTTATCACTCCAAAGTTAATCCCATACCCATTAGCAGGCACTCTCCATTCCCTCCTTCCTCCCTTCCTAATGTAAACTAATTTATCCTCTCTGTCTATGGAATTGCCTATTCTGGACATTTCTTGTAAATGGAATTGTCATATGTCGTATCTTTTGTTTAGTGTACTGTTTTCAAGGTTCATCCATGTTGTAGTCTAAACCAGTACTTCTTTCCTTTTTAGGTGGGATAATATTCCATTGTATAGATGTACCACATTTTGTTTATCCGCTTATCACATGATGGGCACTTGGGTTGTTTCTACTCTTTGGCTATTATGATAATGTTACTCAGAACATTTTTTTAAATTAACATATAGTGTATTATTAGTTTCAGAGGTAGAGTTCAGTGATTCATCAGTTGTATATAACATCCAGTGCTCATTACATCACGTGCCCTCCTTAATGTCCACCATCCAGTTACCCCATCCCCCCACCCACATCCCCTCCAGCAACCCTCAGTTTGTTTGCTATAGTTAAGAGGCTCTTATGGTTTGTCTCCCTCTCTGATTTTGGCTTATTTTATTTTTCCCTCCCTTCCCCTATGATCCTCTGTTTTGTTTCTTAAATTCTGCATATGAGTGAAATCATGATAATTGTTTTTCTTTGGTTGACTTATTTTGCTTAGCATAATACCCTCTAGTGGTCTGAACATTTTTGTATAAGTTTTTACCTGAGCGTGTTTTCACTTCTCTTGGATATACACTTAGGAGTGGAATTGCTGGGTCATATGGTAAGTCCACGTTTAACATTTTGAGGAGCTAGTTTTCACAGTGGTTGCATCATTCCCACCAGAAATGCGTGAGGGTTCCAATTTCTCCAAATCCTCATCAATACTTGTTATTGTCCATCTTTTTGATTAAAGCCATCATAGTAGGAATAAAGTAGTATCTCTCTGTGGTTTTGATTTGCACTTCTCTAATGACTAATTATGCTGAACGTCTTTTCATGTGTTCGTTGCCATTTTTATGTCTTTGTAGAAATATCTATTCTGATCCTTTGTGTCGATTCAAGCCCCTATATTTTCTTTTTATAGCTGAGTTGTAAGAATTTTTCAATATTTCTGAATATTAGAGATTTATCAGATATATATTTATAAATATTTTCTTCATTCTGTGGGTTGTCTTTTCATTTTACTAGACATATTTGAAGTACAAAAGTTTTTAATTTTGATGAAGTCTAATTTATCTAATTTCTCCCTTTGGTTGCTTATAGTTTTGGTGTCACATTTAAGAAATTATTGCCTAGAGGCACCTGGGTGGCTCAGCTGGTTGAGCATCTGTCTGCCTTTGGCTCAGGTCATGATCCCAGGGTCCTGGGATCAAGCCCTGCTTGGCGAGGAGCCTGCTTCTCCCTCTCCTCCCCACTCATGCTCTCTCTCGCTATCTGTCTCTCTGTCTCTCTCTCAAATGAATAAATAAAATCTTAAAAAAAAAGAAATTATTGCCTAGTCCAAGGTCATAAAGATTTACAACTATATTTTCTTATAAGGTTTGTAGTTTTAGCTTTTCCATTTAGGTATTTGATCTGTTGGAGTTTATTTTTATGTAGGGTGTAAGTAAGGGGTACAACTTAATTTTTTTGCATGTGGATATCCAGTTGTTTCAGTGTTATATGTTCAAAAGACTATTCTTTCCTCATTTAATTGTATTGGCACCTCTGTTCAAAATGTCTCTCCTTATGCTAGTACTACACAGTTTTGACTACTGTAGCTGTGTAGAGTGTTTTGGAAATTGGAAGTGTGAGCCCTGCAACTTTGTCCCTCTTTTTCACATTGTTTTGGTTATTCTGGATCCATTGCTTTTATATATGAATTTTAGGATCGGCTTGTCAATTCCTGCAAAAAAAAAAAAAAAGGCCCCTGGATTTTTGGTAGGGATTGCATTGAATCTGTAGGTCAATGTGGGGGCTATTGCCATTTAACATTATTGAGTTTTCCAATCAATGAACACGGGATGTCTTTTTTTTTTTTTTTAAGTTTTTATTTAAATTCCAGTTAGTTATCTTATAGTATAATATTAGTTTCAGGTGTACAGTATAGTGATTCAGCACTTCTATGCATCACCTGGTGCTCATCACAAGTGCACTCCTTAATGAACATGGGATGTCTTTTCATTTATTTAGGTCTCCTTTAGTTTTCTTCAGCAATGTTTTATAGTTTAGTGCCCAAGTCTGGCACTTCTTCAGTTGGATTTATTCCTAAGTATTTCATTCTTTTTGATACTATTGTAAATGGAATTGTTTCCTTAATTTCATTTATGAATTATTCATTACTAGTGTATTGAAATACAGTTTTTTTAAACATTTATTTATTTGAGAGAAAGCGGGGGAGGGGCAGAGGTAAAGGGAGAGAGAAACTCAAGTAGACTCTGCTGAGTGCGGAGCCCAATGCAGGGCTTGATCCCACGACTCCGAGATCAGACCTGAGCCAAAACCAAGAGTTGGAAGCTTTAACTGTGCCACTCACGTGCCCCTGAAATACAGTTAATTTTTATATATTTATCTGTTACCTACAACCTTGCTGAATCTGTTTAATTATTAGTTTATTTGTGGGTTCTTTGGGACTTTCTATATATAAGTTTGTGTCATCTGAAATAATTTTGCTTCTTCCTTTCCAATCTGGATGGCTTTTATTTTTCTTCTCTAATTGCCCTAGCTAGAATCTCCAGTGCAATATTGAATAGAAGTGGTGAGAGCAAAACCTTACAGCTCACCATTAAGTGTGTTAAGGTTAGTCACCCCAGAAAGTTCTCGCATGGCCCTTCATTTAAGATTGTTTCTGATTTTTGGCTATTTTGAATAAAGCTGCAATGAGCGTTCTTATAAAGTCTTTTTGTGGATATATGTGTTCATGTCTCTTGGATCAATACCTAGGAGTAAAAGATCATAGGAGTATGTAGGAGTGTGTTCTGTTAGCAATATACTGAAGTTTTGTTGTGT